GGAGCGAAAATTTCGAAAAATTGACAAATTTCAAAAAAAGTCGTGTTATTTGTTCACGATAGGCTACCATCGAATATCTGTATACATACATGCATACATATATTTCAATATAATCAACACATCTAAATACTTTTCTCCAATAAATGTCTGCACATATGTAAAAGGTCTTAGGTCAACTAAAACTAATGTAGTTTTGCAGTACTACGTACTACTTACAGCAAAATTATTTAGCATCGTTCTAACTATGTTTTACACAATTTCACACGATTATTTGTTGTACTGTCTATACATACATACCTGCCGATTTTACGCCGGGCTTTGGCTCCGATTATGACGAACTATGCCAATTGTCTACGTGACCAGTAAATTACATTTTCATATGTCATTAATCTTCTCCGATTTCCAATTTAGTAGCAGAAAAACGACACAGTAAAGTCGTGGGAAAGAATCAGTAAAAGCATAAATTTAGGCGCTATTAGTATAAATTCTCCCGCTTGAAACATGCTGTTCCAATGTGTCATCCCTCTCCTGCAAATGCAATTAAGATGCCTATCCAACCTGGGCGTCCAGCTTATCCTCTGGAACGCAAAGAGGCGTCAGTTCTACCCCAATGTTTCCAACCCAAGCAGAATCCGACTCGCTCTCGGCACTCTTTTGACCCTCGTGCTCAACGGGTGCTACACGATTTTTCTGAGAACGGATCACGTCCCCCAGACAAAACCACTTAAGTGCAACTTTTTACCACAGCTTTCGCGACGGCACTGGCAATTACTTCGACAATCCTGTGCAATCCAGACCCATTCGTTTCTCTGATCAATATGACGCTCAAGTTTGAGGAGAAATCTTTGCGTAAGTTTTCAAGTTAGAGGGTATATTTCCATACCAAGTATTTGATGCGAAATTGTTGTGCTAAATCAGATTGCATCGAAATACTAAAAATCTGACAAAGGGGGTCCCCCAACGTATGCTCATAGATTTGGATCAAACTAGCGTCAATCGTCACAAATTTGATTAGTATGAAATTAGCAAATGGCACTATCTGCCAATGCTCAAGTTTAGCGGAGATATTAGAGTTTCTCAACGGGTTCGGGTCTTTATCGGGTTCGGATTTACCTACGGATAATCCGAAAACAACCCGATAACAAATTGAACGATGAGATTTAATTGTCAATAACTTTTATAAACATTACGAGTTGTTTAACTTAACTGATGTCATAGAATTAATGGAACTTTCGTAAAATATATAACCAAATTTAAACTATATCTATGTCCTCCCTCTCCTTGTACACATTACGGGATAGGAATTTTAGCATGGTTGAAATCGGCGACCTAATCCCATTCTTTATTCCCAACTTGAGGTTTTAAGAGAGTTCCACAAATATTACAACAATTATATGTATAATAATATCCATGACTGATTAATATTAATCGAAGAACGAAATATACGCAGTAGAAGGCTGTTTTTTACAAAAGATGTTATAAAATTGAAGCTCATAATTGTGATTTTTATTAACAGTTTGAACCATAATTGGAAAAAAAATTAATATACAAATGAGCTTATGAAGGTATTTTAGAAATACTATTTTATACTTATCGGGTTCTTATCGGGTTTCGGGTTCGGGTTCGGATAGAACTTATCGGATTATCGGGTTCGAGTACATATCGGATTCGGGTTCGGATTAAGGATTTCGTACCCGTTGAGAAACACTAGGAGATATTTGGATAAAAAGAGTAGAAAACGCACCCTGAAGGCTGGCAAATTTTTCATTTTTCAAATTTGTTGCGCATTTTTCCTTCTTTGGATGCAAATATTCCGCCAGCGTGACAATGTACATCACCTGTCTGACAAGGTAATCCTAAATACATGCATGTAAATAGGTATGGACAATTTGAATATGCAAAATCGTACTTCAGTCTTTAATTTTTCGTGACGATAGCAATTTTAAACCTCAGAATTTTGATAATTGAGGTTAGCGCTGTCAAATCCGGATTTTTCGAATTTCGAATTACCTCGAAATCCGGATTTCATATTGGAATGAATCCGGATTTCCTTCATTTAAAAACTAATTTTCTTGTGCACTGCAAAGATACAAATTGTTGGAAAAAGTATAAATTTAAAAAATTGTTCATGTTCATCCCAGGTAGTTACTTTACCATCTTCGACAGGAAATGAAACCTTTTTTGAAGTTTCGCATTTTTTAGTACATCAACTTAAAAATATACCAGGAAACTATCTACTTGGTCCAAAAATTTTAAACTATGATGAAAATTTCAAAAAAACTTAAATTTCGATTGAATATCATAAAGAAGTATTAGACATGTATCAAACTCGTTCAAATATCAAGAAAGTTGATAATTACAATAAAAAATTCAATCCATACCTGTGCAGCTTCACTCAATGGGTGTAAATTGAAGCTTCATTCACGATGAAGGAGTGAAGGGGAATGAAGCTGAGTGAGGGAGTTGAAAACTTTGATTGAGTGAGTGAAGGTGAGTGAGGGAGGCCCAAATGAGAAATGAGTGGAATGAAGGGTGAAGGAGTGAAGGAGATGAAGGCTTCGTCTCTTTCACTCTTTCGTCTCCGGGGAAGAAGGGTGAAGGAATATAATTAGTTTATATACTGAAACCAGAGTGGAAATGTTAAAATAGGACCGTCTCACATTACCCCAGGCCAATCTCACATTACCCCAACCCAGTCTCACGTTGCCCCAGCCCAGTCTCACATTACCCCAGCCAAGTCTCAAGTTGCCTCCTTAGATGGCGCCAATATATTTAAATTATAATGACAGGAGGGACTGAATTGAATGAATGAAAGAGTGAGGGGAATGAAGGAGTGAAGGGAGTGAAAAGAGGGAAGGGAATGAAGGAGTGCTAATGAGATTTATCAGTGAGTGAAGCCTCACTCAGCCTTCCTTCACGTGAGTGAGGGGAATGAAGGGAATTTTACTCCGAGGTAAAATGAGTGAAGTTGAGTGAAGCAAAACTCACTTGCACAGGTATGATTCAATCCGGATTTAAATCCGGATTTGGGCATAGATAAAACCGGATAATCCGAAATCTGGATTTGAAAATTCGGAACGGATTTGGCAGCCCTAATTGAGGTACGTCGGGTATTCCATTGTGACTTTCGAACGATATGAATTTGAATTTTATGCTTTTGCGAATTCTAATAATTACATATTTACATACATATCGTCTCATTTTTTCTGTACCCTGGACATCTTCAATTTAATCATTTCAAAATTTTATACTTGAATGTCTGAAAATAAATAAAAAATTAAGCTATCAATAAATTGTTGTTTTAAAAAAACGTCCTCCCAAACCGTGCAAAATAGGATACCAAATAATAGCAAAGGATGGAAGGAAATTCACACCAAGCTAAAAAATTAATTTCACACTAATCATACTTATATTATACCATTCTGTTATCCAGATCCCTTGGTTGGAATTCCTGCGCAAAAATTAGCAAGATTGGAATCCAATACTACAAACAAGTCGAGATACTAATTTCTCATCTTAATTACTGCTTTCAACCCGTCGTCCTTCCCGCCATTCTCCTCTATGCCGTCTCCGTCAACATTTTCTGCACTTTCTTGACCGTGTCGACCAAATTCCGACTTCTTGAGCACATCGGGAACGCAACCTTTCCGCTGATGGCTGTCGTAACACGGCTCGTCCTTTTGGCCCTTGGACTAATCGCTGGTCTGGCTAATAAAAGATCGATCACGTGTGTGGTTCAAATGCGGAAATCCTTCTTATCAAAGACTGCCCTAGAAAATATCGTCCTGAAGAAAATGACGAGAGCACTGGCACCAATGAAGATACGATTCGGCAACAATTTCATCACCGTTTCTACACTTTTGGTAATGACAGCTTTCTGCGCCCGGTCGACGGTCCGGTTGCTCTTGATGGATTCCGTTTAAGATTACCGGCATACATAACCTTCCACCAAAATACAATTTTCTTAAATGGTATTAATTTAATGAGGTGTTTTCTGCAGTGATTCATTTATTACCAAATGTGCTAGGAAATGAGGAAATAAAAGTTTCTACATATAATTTTGACGCGTTTCACGTCTTCAACACATGCCTGTTCGCGTGTCGAGCTTCGTAGTGGAACTTGAGCTAGCTAATCGTTTTGATAGTTTTAGCGATCCAAGCCCGCCGGCTCCAGAAAACCGTCTCGACTTACTTTTACTCTACACATTAAAACTTCTTCTAGTCCTTGCACAGGCATATATGTATGTATGCCATAGTTTGAGATCAATACGAAAAAATCAATAGTGGTATTCACAGTAACCGATTATTGCGATTATAATCATTATGGACAATAATCACCCAAAAATTCTTGAAATGCGTGGCATGTCTGCCAGTCGAAGACTGGCTTCTCTAATAGTATAAGATTAAATTAATTAACAACTTTAAAATAAACATGCACACCAGTCACCAGTTCGACTAAAAATACATTTGTCTATATAAACATGTAACTGAATATAAGATAAAGGCTGAAACGAATATACATATTGCCACAATTATTATAACATTTTAATGATGTGCTAACCTGAAAATAAGATTTATATTTTATCATGCAAACAAGAGTTCTCTTCATATTATCAAAATACATTTTCAGGTTGAGACAATTTTTTAGAGCGTGTAGCTATGCATATCTATTCCATATAAATCTATGGGTCTCACCGAGCCAGATGAATTCAAGAATGGATGACGCTGGAATTTTATCTAGCAAAATATACGGAGTGGTGTATGTATACATTGATCCTCATAACAACTACGCACAAATACAGCTTGTTTGAGGCCTAAATTTAGTATGGTCTTGGTACCTATGTACAAACTTCGATCCTGATAACAACTTCACACACACACACTGGTTGAACGCACACTTGTTAAAATATAACAGAGGAGAATATGTTCTTTCTAATCTTATCATGTCGCTTAACCATTCCAACTCATCTGCCACGTTGCAGCAGGATCCTGCCATTTTGCCAATTTATTGCCCTGTACATACTTGTAGTCAAACTTTTGCCTCCGTTAACATTGGTTTTACTTTAACCAACTTCATCTCACAAAATATTCCTTCAAAAGAAATTTAACGAGCATTTTGCAGGTCGAGTCATCTTCCATCTCCACTATTTCGATACAATTCAGGTACGTAAATTAGCTCGCTATTCATTAAACATGTTAAGAATTTGTTGTTCAAGGTCAGCTTGTTGAATTAGTCATGTCAAATTAAGCAGATCAATAAATACACCGTTACAACGCATGTAACCAAGGGGTGAAAGAAATGTGTCATACGTCCAAGTGAATATCATATTAAGTTCGAAAATTTGTTAAAATTGACACTTTTGACGTGTTCTTGACGTCCGTGTCTGAGATGTGTCAAATCTAACAGTTGATAACACTTATGTGACCTTTTGTGACCTATGAGGTCTAAACGGAGGTCACCAATGAATTCGGGGTTAAATTTCCTTCAAAATTGACATAGATATGCCCCATGACCTTTATATGACCTCTGAGGTCAAAATAAACGTCACCATTGAAATCAGCCTCAAATTTCCGATTGACATATGCCCTATGACCTTTAGATGACCTCTGAGGTCAAAATGGAGGTCACCATTGAATTCCTCATTGAAAAATAGTTAAAAATGATGTGTCACATGCCAAAAGTGACACGTGACACTTTTTCGTCACTTATCGTCACAGGTGAGTCACCTGAGGTGACATCGTCACCTGAGGTGACGATGTCACAGTGTCCATCTTCGAACTCGTCCTGTCCCTTGACGTTAGGAGTTTACGTTCAAAATTTCAAGTCTCTATGTCTTTCCGTTCAAAAGTTATCGGAGCTACGGACAGACAGAAAGACGGACGGACATAACGATCTTATAAAGGGCGTTCACCCGTTAATAAATATGTCGATTTCAACGAAAGTTGAGCCATAAATGGTGACCTCCGTCTTGTTCTGACCTCAAAAATATAAAAATAAGGTTACGAATAAATACCTTGAATATATTTGGAGCTTCGATATTAACAGATCTTGAATCTGCTCGAAAGCCGTTGATTCAATCTGAAATTCTGCCTAAAAATACTTTGTTTTTATGCAGCTCAAATTTTAATATTAAGTTTGCGGGCATATTGCAACAAAAAATATCCAAGATTTTTTTAACATTATTTTTCCAGCGTGACAAAAAATGTCGTTCCTAGACGAGGTCAAATTGGAAAGCTTCCTAGGCTGGGGATCATTCGGGCTTGTGTTCTCCACAATTAACAAGGAAACTGGGGAAAAATTTGCCACCAAATTTATATACGAAGGTGGACCTGACTACCGTGTCGAACGAGAAGCGTTACTTGTTGGAAAAACGCATCGAAACATCGTTGCTGTCAAAAACTTAACTCCTGAAACCTTCTCATTCCGCAAACTTAATAAATTCATAAATTCAGTCGACATTAAAGATGAAGATGGACAAAGGAGGAGAGAGTCCTTACTCAAGTTGGCAAAAGAATGGGATCCTCTGCCAATTCACGTTATCAAAATGGAACTGCTCGGTGATAACTTGAAGACCTGGATATCCACTCACTCCGTCGCTGCCATAGATGACATTCGCTTGCAAACAATTAAGCTACAAATCATCCAAGATCTTATCAATGGGGTGAAATTCCTGCACGATAACAAAATTACTCATCGAGATATTAAGCCAGCTAACGCCCTGTTTGCATATTCCGGACGTCCAGAGAAATTCGAGTTCCCGCTTAAAATTGGAGACTTTGGATTGAGTCGAGAAATACTGGGAGAAGCGACGAAAGAGTCCTTGACGGCGAAGCAAGGAACTAAGCTCTACCGTGCTCCGGAAGTCGATACGGGCAAATATGGGCGACAAGCTGATCTATATTCCTTGGGGCTGGTTATATTTGAACTTGTAATGCTATTCAAGGAAAAAGAAGAGAGGAACGATAAGTTCAGATTAGTAAAATGTCAAAACTATAGCGTACTAGATGCAGACCCAATAATTCAGTTTGTATCAATTGAATTAAAGCCATTGATAATTCGAATGGTCCAACCGGAAGTGATTCATCGTTTGACATCCATTCACGATGTACGCAAATTTATGGACCAAGCAGTCGGAGAGCTTAATTTAATTAACGCCAGCATGTATAACCCAAAAAAACTAACAAAGAAACTGGTGATCGACACGGTTGAACTTATGAGGCTTCTACAGGACCCAAATTCACAACGGTTTCTTAGCAATGTCACGTTCAAATCTATTCTGGGTATAGGAGAATTTGGGTTTGTTTATCAGGCGCATAATTCTGTCATGAATAATGACACGGCTGTGAAGGTGCTTGTACACGATAAATGGGAAGAAGAAGATTACGCGATTATGGTTGCGCGGGAAACAGGCATAACTACATTACTAAATCATAAACACATCGTGAATGTGACTCAGACTCACAATGTAAAACTAACTCCATCAGAATATGAGAAACTGATGGGTGAGATTACCATCCCCAATATTAACCAAGAGTATATTCGCAACAGGCTGACACACAGCTCAACTTCAAGCCTTACGTTCATAGAGATGGAGCTTTGCGGTCAAACCTTGCGGACATGGCTGAACACTATGTGTAACGACCCAACATTGGATCTAAATCTGGAAATGACTCAATTCCAAATTGTGCGCGGAATTCGGGAAGGTCTTGCCTACTTGCACTCGAAAAACATTCTCCATCGTGACGTAAAACCAGAAAATGTTCTGTTCGCATCTTCGGAGTTTAAGCTTCCAGTGAAAATTGGAGATTTTGGGTTATCCAGAATAATTGATTCCGATGACTATATTGTAACTTCTAATGTCGGAACAAGTATGTACATGGCAGCAGAAGGTATTATGGGACAGTATAGGAAATCTTCAGATTTGTTCAGTTTTGGCCTTATTATGCTCGAAGTGCTTGATTTAGTTAATCCACGTAAGCTAGGACGAACGTTTCATCGAATTGTTCAAAACCAAGAATTTCAGCTGGTCAAAGAGTCGCATGCAGTGATAATCAATTCTAAGGAGTTAATTATCTCACTTACTCGTAGAAGGCGGGACGATCGACTGAAGGATATATCTGAGGTGAAATTCGATACTGATTTGAACTAGATGACTAGGCACAAGAAATCATATCTGTTGAATCATAACTTTTTTTGCGAACCAGCATACTTAAAATTAACTATAGTTAACTCCTAATCATTTGGTCTTACGGCAACAAACATCAACTTGTTTTTTGATTCGTCCAAATCGAATTTAAGTAACTGCGAAGGTTACTTCGATCTGCAAGATTACTTAAGCAGTTTCTTGCTTTTCAGTGCAAGAAATGAAACAAACCCGAAACAAACGAAACACTGGTAAAAATTAACAATGAATCCATCTGTTCTGCATATAATCGTTAAATTTATTGTTAGAATACTTGTTTTCTTCGCGTAATTTGTGAAAATATGTAAATGTGTATACGATTAAAAAACGTTACGTAACGATTCTGTCAAACCCCCCTCCCCCATCCGTAACGATTCGTAACGCAATTCTCCAACCCCCTCCACCCCCTCGAAGCGTTACGTAATTTAAGAACGCCCCTTATGTGTGATTAAAATTTTCAAACCTAATCCTAATTTTTCACCTCTAAACTGGTCGGATGGATTAGCAAGCTATGAAGGCTTTTGTATATTTAAGATATTTAAGTATTTATGTAAATTCATTAAAACAGATTTACATATTAATTGTTAGCTCCTGGTTTAATTATCTGCTCACGTGATAGAGTTATTAGTCTCTCTTAGAAACTTATTATAATACTTATGGTTATCTGTAGCATTAAACCAGAATTTTCTGGTTAATTTGCAACTTCACGCATTTATCGACTTCGTTATACTTAATTGTAAATAAGAATTTTATTCTGATCAAAACTTATATGGATAATTGTACACAGAATGATTTTATGTTTAGTAAAATTTAAGCTACATACATACATTAATATTTCGGTGCAAGTACGTACACTTAAATCACAGGATTTGTAACAAATAAATAATTTCTTACTTGTACATACATTTATTTTGTTTGAGATTTCAGAGGAATCTTTCTAAATTAATTATTTAAGGACGATGACAAACTAAATATTTCTTAACTATTTATTTACGAGAAAATGCATTAATTCGACAGCCACCACTGGCTTGCTGAACATTAACAGATCGGGGCGTTTCCATCAAAGTTTCCATCAAAGAAATGTTATGACTATTCATAATGTGTAATAGGTCCCTAAGACAGCTTGTTTTACATTATGTTTGAGGATCCAGCCCCGGATTTCCTGACCAAGGGGGGCAATTGTTTCTTGCGACATATCCATATACAATTTATTTTCGTCATGTATTTTATTATTAGCTAGGGATGAACCTAAACCTGACTTGTTGCTGCTTGAAAAATGATAAATATTCGAAATATTACTATTTACAATCTTAACAAAACTATGCAAAATAGCTTCACCTCTCATTTTCTCCAACATCTTTTTTAATTGTTCTCGACGTTGTCGTTGTTTAGAACGACGGGACTTTGCGACTCGCCCAGACATTTCGCTTCCGCTCTCGGGTCGCTTTTGTTTTTCACCCACTTCTTAATTGCAACTTCCGCCTCCACAATTGTTAATTGCTCCCCTCCACTAGTTGCCCGAACACAACCTGAAATTATTTGAAGTACTGACATTGAACAAATTGAAGAATCTGCATTATGTTTGTAAGATATGTAAGGTAACTGCTTACAATTTATCAAATCAACAAAGCCAGAATCACGAAAACTACGAAGAACACCTTTTTCCTTCCCTGTTAAGGTTACAAGTTTAGAAATATTCTTGGCAAAAAGATAATCCAAAACGCGTTTGCTTATCTCCTCAGTATTCGCACCACCCAAAATTCGAAGTTTGGTAACCTAGTTAAACGTACAAATTATGTGTAGTCGACAAAGTAAAAAATAATTAATATAAACATAAATCGTGGCGCGATGTTTGTTTTTGCTAGTTACAACAGCTTACCAATTTTAATTTATTCTCCTGAATTTTAACCCATTCTGATAACTTGTCAAAATTCACAATGGTGGACACTGCAAGAGTTGGATGATCATATATTATCCCCTCAACTATGCCACCGACGGGATTGGAACGCCGTAGCAATTCCTCCAAATTTCTGTTGATTTTTACGAGGTTTCCCGCTACGGTTAACTGTAAATCTTTACAAGGATAATAATCAAATTTGTGCCATTAATCACTGGAATTTACTAATTTCATGAGGCACACCCCAGGCTGATATTCTTACTTTTAAGCTCTGTCTTTATATTTTCAATTTCTTGCAGAGGAGCAACAACGTAATTGGTAACATCATCAATTGACTTGATTTGTTGTTCGTCAATTGATCGATGTTCCTCGTCATTTGTGTTTCCCTTGCCATCGACTGCTATACTGTCTACCGTAGAAGGCGGATCTACATAAAAGTAAAATTAGCGATATTAATTTGTGTTACTTAAATACATACACATAACTAACTTGATTAACTGCATATTGGAATGATAATCAATAGGCATAATTCTCACCAACTAAATGAAAAAAACTTGACGTAGGAATTCCTACGTCATTCCTACATTTTTATGTATAATTATACATAAAAATGTGTAAAAATTTCCATAAACATTCCTGAGAACAATGTTATCGCCTGAAGTTTCTTGGAATTTTTGAATTTTTTCATTCGTTCCAAAATATTAAAGCCCAAACTTTCAAAATAAGCGATTTTTACTGTTTTGGTCAGAGGAATGGGACCTTGCTTCTTCCCATGGCTAAAAATCATTCCAACTTTTACCTCAAATATTTTGCCAAATTTGGCTATCGCTCAAACCTCCGCAAGAGGCTTTAACTTTATTCAGTTGCACTTCATAGATACATAATTCAAAAATTTCAACAAAATCGGACCCCTACACTTCACATCGATAAAACTCACCGGAAATGGCTGGATGAATATTCTTATTGTTCATGTGGCGTACGAGAGCATCATGCGAGGAAAATGTGACCTTAGGACCACACATTTTGCACAACAAAATCGATTTCGATCCACTGGAATTTGCAAGGTCTGAGTCATCTTCACTGTCCGACATGGATTTCGATTCAGATTCCGAGGCTGAAAAGTCGTCATCGTCATCGTCCCTTTGTGACCTGAGAGGATCCGACATGATTTCGTCACGGTCGTCGTCGTCTTCGTCGATTGGCTCGATTTTTACCAGTAATTCTTCCTCTTCAATGTCCCCAGGTAATTGTTGGTCGTCATCGTTGTTGAAAATCAGGTCGGCCGGGGGAGACCCCACTTTTCCAGACAATTCTGCGTTACATGACGTAAATTTAATTAGTTTAATTTAACACGATTCATCATTACTTAATTAGAGAGATTGATTAACTTTTTAAACTGTAACGACGACAATTGTCGTTTTGTAAGAAATGGTTTAATTCAGGAGTAAGACAAAAGTCGTCCTAAAAAATCGTGGCGCGGAAGGAAGACAATTGTCGTTTCTAGGAGGTCATTGATTTTCACCTTTTTCTCTCCGCGACCTCAAATTTATTTCAATTTTGAGGGATTTCTCCTATGCCAACACAATGCTAAATTTGAAGATTTTCTTCCAAAAAATTTGGATATTTCCATATACAACGCAATGTTAGATTTTTGATTTTTCAGTTTTTCGAGTTTTATTAAAACTCCTGAATTTCTCCTCCTGCCCTGCGCCATTACCACAACATGCTTATGGCTTCCCCAATTTAACGCATTTTCTTCTTGTTAATCATACATGTTAAAGGGTTAATTAGAGATTGTTCCTTACCATTAATTTTGGATTCATTTCGCAATTTATTGAACAGCAGCCCGTTCCTGCTGGAAATGACGGCCCGTAAAGAAATTGTGATCTTTTCGATCTGCGAGGTCAAATTTGCCAACGAGAGGATCACGGAGGAGCAGATTTTGCAACAAAATAGTGCAGCATGATTTTCGGAAATTTGATCCTCACTTATAATTTTGAACTTGGAAAGAATTTCCATTTCTTGGACGGCGAGAGGGCCCAGATTTATCCCAGATTCGGCGCAGATGGAACAGGACGACCTTAATTCTGGGGATGAATTATCCTCCTCTTTCAGGACAAAGTTGTCCCCGGGTCGTGAACGGGGGGCAAAATTTGCCCCCTTGAGAAGGACTGCCGTCGAGGAAAGTAAATCTTGCAAAATGTGTCCCGTACCATTTTTCGGGGATTTTAAAAACACACCTTCTTCTTTAGACATTTTATGTATGTACCTATGAAAATATAATCGCCTTTAAAATTTTATATATTTTGCTCAAATTGAACACTCTTAAAAGTAATGTTGCCTTTTCGAAAACTACAAACTAAAAGGCCTCTGAATTCTAAATTAAGTAAAATGTATGTATGTACACTTACTAAATCCAGAAAGTTAATTTGCTCTGGATTTCCACAATTTAGAATTTTTAGAGTGCATTAAATTTACGTTTCAAACAGGAAACATTATTTTTAAGAGAAAATTTATTTTTCCTTGAACTTCCTTCAATCTACAAACATCCTTTTTGCGTTGAATTATGAGAATATCGTGAAAATTTATTATTGGGATTGACTACGGATAAATTTACAAGTTAAAAAAATTTCAGGGAACAAAACGGGGGATCCGACAAAGAGCTTTTCTATGTTCGAGCAGCTTTTCTGTTTTCATATGCATGCACGTGTAACTCATGCAATTCTCATTACTTAATGAATGAATGAATATATTTATTGATATCCTTTTGATGCCGCTTATGGGCCCATGAAGGTAAAATCATATAAATACAGGCGTAAATAAATTGCAATTCTCATTAATGTGCATCCCATATGTACATATGTATGTATACGCGGATAGCATTGTATTAAATATTTTATTCTATTGCATAATCATACATATGTGTTCAAAAAATATTTATGCATTCAAATTTACTTCATTCAAAGCCTTGAAAAAATATGCATTCCTTATTTAGTCATTCATAATTTGGAAAAAAATATTTATACCCATGGGTATAAATATTTTTTTTCAAAAATATGTGAACATATTTTACATAGTGTAAATATTTTTCATATTGTATGCAACAATATTGCATAATGGCATTTTGCAATATTGCATTATGATAATGCAATATACATACAATTACATAAACATATTTATTTAACTATAACGAGGACTTTTTTCTCCTCTTGACACATTTGTATTTAAATTTTGATAATTTTTATCATTTGCTAGTGAAGTAGGTCCAAACAATGCAAAAAATGTGTGATAAAAAAACTCCACATATCAAGGGTACCTCTAAGGGAATCATTACATCTTTTACACATACCCCTTCATTGTGTGCCAACCAAAAGTCGTATTAACCTGGGGTTTGAGTATTTTTTATTGAAATGTGATTTTGTAAGATGAAATTAAGTAAAAATTCGCTACGTCACGTTTCTGTCGTAAAGTTAAACCTCTGTAAAAATTAAGTTTTACGGTTAATTACCATGCATCGTACCTGCGTATGCTTCCAGGGGTTTTTGGGGCATTGGAGTTTTGTGGGTTTTAGTAGGTTTTGGCGTAGCAAATTGGAACAATCCCCTTCATATAGTCGGAGTTTTCAAATTTTATAAAACATGCTAACAGGGTTTTACTAGCAATTCTACAATTTAATAAGTTATTAAAATTGAATTGATAAGCAGCTTCGTTGAGAAATTGCTGAAAACAGATGTTTTTTGATACACGAGACACAGACTCAGTTTACCCCCAAAAACCTCGACTGCCCAGAATACCCTAAAAACCTCGAAACCACGACCACCCTCAAAACCCAGGTAAGACCCCTAGGAATTTGCTTTCAATAGTAAACCCAGGGTATTTCCTCACCCTGCATCGTGCTTATGTATGTACCGAAAATGCCCTAGCACCCCGTCTTGATCAGAAGCAATTTAACCGTCCACTTGACACAAACCCCAATTATTACTAGAGGTGTTAAAATAGTGAAAAAGTTATCCCCAAAATGAATCTTGATCGGAGCACAGGCTCTAATCTTCGCTTGTAGAAAGTGATCATGCCCCGACTCTGCGCCACCACGTTTCTCCAGGTTTTGCAGGAATTGGATGGAAACCTTGCTCACCTTTCCGGACAACGTTCCCAAGCAGAGCGTCGCCAAATAGGTTTCCAAGCTGATCAAAAAGAAGAAAAGATGGCCCAAATTATTCAACAGGTTCCCATCTCGGAGATACGAAATGGAGATGAAGGTGCTCAGAATATTTGCATCGGCGAAAAGGAGAACTAAGCAGGTAAGAAACATGGCTCGGAAGGAGGCGCTAATTTGACTTGAGATTATCCTTAATTCGTTATACTTTCTCAACTGTTTGCTTAAAATTGCTGCCGGTAAAAATTTTGAAATTGTGGATTTCGTCCAGCTGTAAAGAACAAGGGAAAGTTTGTCATTTTAGTGATACATATGCAGGAATTTAACGCTTTTGGACCGGAAATTTAAACGTTGCTTCTACTTTATTTTACCGTTTCGTCTTAAAACGTGTAAAATATATTCATTCAAAATGAAATAAAATAACTACTATTTAAATAACTAAAAATAGAGTGACTTTAGCCATTCGTGCATAATAATTACACTTCATGGAGATGTAATCAAAGTTTTAAAATCTTAAGTCAAATTTGTGTTCGCAAAAGCACGAAAAATGCGTGATGTTACGTAAAAAAAACAGTAACTTACATAATTCATCATAGAAAGTTTAGTCAAAAATTCTTAAAAATAAATATAAAAATAAAAATTCTTTATAAAATTCTCTGTTAAGTCGTTCATCGGCTACACCACGTAAGCTCACCTTCTGATTTTCACAAGGCAGACCAACATGGAAAAAACGGAGACAGTAAAGATGTTAAATATCGCCATACAAAGCCCACTTGCTAACCAGTAGTAGATCCACCCTTGCCCAATAATTGCGACAGTATGCCCCAAAACATATTCCATTCTACTTCCCGCCTGAATCAAAGAACCGATAAATGGGGCTCGTTCTGGTTCTATAATATTTATTAAAATGAGCAAAATTGGAGATACGAGTGACGCCACCAACCCCAACAGGATCACGATAGCTTTCACTATTTTTTGATAAACTCGAATCTCCCGGGGGTTTTCTGTGCGCCACAGATTTTGTTCGTAAATTAATACGAAGTTAAGTAGAGTCACTATTTTTTCCACATTTACATAAAAACTTGTCACCGTCATTGATATTCCGATGGGCAGAATTGATCCGAAAAGTGTGATCGACGCTTTCGTCGTGATATCCAAATTTGGCCGAGTTATATGATACATTGAACTAACTGGGAGGAAAATCGTGAATAAGGCGAATACAGTGAGAGGAACCGGGTGATTCGAAAGTGATTCATGCCGAACTTTGTACCGAATCGGGGTTTCCTTGAGAGGTAGGAATATAGGGGAGGGGACAAAGGAAGAAGCAATTTTTATTTGAAGCCGGGTTAAATCGGAGATTGAGGACAATCATTTTGTAAGGTTTTACAAGCCCTTTGTTTTGAAAAAAGACTTAAGGTGGACTAAGAACTTAAATTGTTAAGAGCTACATACGTAATAAATACTTAATATGCATGGGTTCTAGGTAGATTTTGATTAAAGTGTTTTACAAGACGAATTCCCCCTTTATTCGAATGCAAAATAAATTATGCAAATCAGTGGTGGCGGATGCATGTATGTATTCGTTCAGCATAGAAGTCGATGAATGTAGATATGTATTTACCCGAAATAAATAGGATTTGGCAAATACTTGTAAATCGTGGGCCTCATCAAATATGAAAAGGTTTTCCAGAATTGAGGAACATATTATCAGCCAAGTAAATATTATTCCACCAGGAAAAGCAAGCCAGGCATGTCTTTAGTCCGGTTTGATTAATGTGGGAGGAATTTGCACATATTTACTTAGGTTTATTCAAACTCTTCTTGTTATTGAATTTCCCATGTAAATATATATTAAATGTCTAGGAATAGGCAAACAACGGCAAATTTTAATGCAAATTTTTGCCTCTCCAAAATAAATAGGTAGCACTCTGATGAAGGTTCGTTTTCCTAATGAATACATAAATTTTCAGCATGCTCAGCGTTTACCTAATTTACAGAGACCACATATGTACTTCTACGTATGTACATATTTATGCATGTATTTAGCTTCCATGGACAGGTAACACACAAATGTGGCTGTCATCAATGCCAGAAAGTAATTTGATCAAATAATCAATTTGATTATTTGTTAGTAAACATTACATTAGCAATCAAAAAGTAATGTATGTAAATACATCTTTAAGGTGGCATTGTATGCCCCAGTATGCGGGTTTTTAATTTGAATTATTGTATCTATCTTTCCCTTCTTCCATATATTCAAATGGGGATTTTGAAACTTGTTCATCTCTGTGGGTTTTTTACAATATGAAGATTTTAATGCACCTAAAAATCAATAATTTTTAGATTTACAAAGTTACGACTATAAAATTTTGATTTTTTTCTTGCATAAATATGAAATAGATGAAAAATAATCTGTAAAAAGTAAATATTTCCTCATTTAAGAAAAAAATCAAAATTCTAGACTCCTAACTTCTCAATCCTAAAAATTAGCCATTTTAAGATACATTAAAATCTTCATATTTTAAAAAACCCAAGGAGATGAATACATTTCAAAATCATCACTTGAATACATGGAAGAAGGGAAAGTTGAGACACAGCAATTCAACTCAAACCCTAATACAAGTGCACGTTAAAGTGCCAAATAGACTATAATTAGATTTCCATTAAATAAGTTCCCAATAGATACAAGCAGTTGTGACCTAATTAAAAAATTTGTTGCAAAATTTGTTATGTATGTACATACATACATACACTCTTAGCAAAATGGTATTGAATTTAATTGAATCATCACCAAACGGAGTGCATATATGACTTAACCAAATTGTGATAATATTTACCCCACATTGTGATAAATGTTCCCCACAATGTGTTAAATCCTCACTATCTAGTGTTAAGTTTACACATTGTGGGGAAGATTTATCACAATGTGGGGTAAATATTATCACAATTTGGTTAAGTCATATATGCACTCCGTTTGGTGATGATTCAATACCGTTTTGCTAAGAGTGTACACCTCATTGTCATACATGCGTTGGTATCAGCTCATTTTTAATATAAAAAGACCCGTCAGTCAATCAATACAGTTGAATTGGTATAAAAATCTCTTACCCACCTGGGCTGGACACGACGCAATAACTAAGGTCATAAATACATATCTATTCAATTAGTCTGATAATGGGAGATGATAAAAGGGAAAATCAATTACGCCATGACACGTACATATGTACGCTGTTGCATACATATTTACAGGTATAAATTTGGGACGAGGTATCTATCATCTTGTAATTAGAGCATGCAGTGAAGTGCAATTAGTCAGTCATGTATCTCTCCGTTGGTTTCTTATTCATAGCCATGCTGGCACGGGGTACATAGGTTTTTTGAAAATTTTTCCTTGTTTTTAATCAGTTCTTAAATATGAATTATATCTAATTAGATTGAACTTGTATTAATTTTTCGTTTCGTTAATCCGTTCTTTACAAGGTGCTCCAGAAATCTTCCAGAATAACCGGCCCGAGGATCCAGTCCCAGTTGAGACAGGTATATACATTTCAGAATTGAAATTACAGTGTTTTACCACAAGTTCGTCACATTTGAAAACACAAAAGTTTGAAAGTTCGCATAAAATTTTTGCATTGAAGATTTACATACATATTTCTCTGAGGCTCGTATGTAAATAATTGGCAAATTATATTACGAACTCGTAATGAGTAAATCTGAGAATTTTTGGCTGTTTGAAACAGATCTGGTACATAAAAGTTTGGTTGTTTTGAGTTTCCCACATTGAATTTTGTGAAAATATATTTAGTAATTATACGTGTGTAAAGTTAAGATATGGAATTTTTCCAAACAAATTCTTACCGTTATGTGGCACATGTTTTCAAACATTTTAGTTACAACATGCGGTGGTTACATTGTGGCCTCCTCGGGAACAATCAACTTCCAAGTGGGAGGTTCTATTCGAGCTGACATGCGCTGCATTTGGACTTTGAAGGCTCCCGCTCAAAATCAGCGATTCGTCCTCGTCTCTTCCGGCCTTAAAGAGTCGGATGGCTTGTATTTGACCGATTTCGGGTACGCAGCGGCAGGTCCGGGAGCTCAAACGAGGGTGTAAGTTGAACAAAATGAGAAACGAAATTATAAATATTTGCATAGCCCCGCCGAATGTCTAATTCCACCTCCCTGCACAACTACGAACAATTTCGAACTCATTTTAACATTCGGGTGGCGACAAATTAGAACCTTAACCATATAATCGTCTTCGAAAACTGTCAAAAGCGGGGCTGCATATTTTTAGAAAATTGGAAATAACACGCTTTAAAAATATGTCTAGCAAAATTTTAAAATAAATTCCCACAGCCTCTAAATCTTGAAAAATGTGTTAAGTTTGAAAATTTAGGCGACGAGTTATCAAGTCCTACATCAGTGAAACTTGAGATCTCTCCCTTAAAAAATTTAGAAATCTGGAATGTTTATTTTTTAAAATTACCATCCACATTCATCAGCAAGAATTGTAAAATAAATTCCCAGAACCGAGAAACAATTAAAAACATACAGATTTCAAAAGTTTTTACGATGTGTGTACGTGATTCTTGAATATTTTTTTTCTACTTAAGGACAACCGTTGGGCAGAATTACACACTCCCTTCGAAAAACGTTTTTATCACTTTAAACGTCGGCCACGCTCCCAGGATGGGATTCAGCCTCCAGTTTTTCTCCAGCGGTCCAGACAATTATCAAATGTTGACCGGCCTCGCGGCTTTGACCGGAGTGAAGGGCAATTACAGCTACCCTGTGGGTGGAGGGCAGTACAACAACAGTGTTATCGACTGGTTCACACTCTGCCCCTCGACCCCGTCTCAACCCACGTTACGATTTACCCGGGTGGATGTCGAGTATAATGCGGACTGTAACTTTGACAGCGTCCGAACCTACACCTGGTTTAACAATCAGTTCAGCGAAGTTGCGAGGTAAGTTTTTGTCTGTATAGGTTATTCTAAACTTATGCTATTAAAAATATTGAATATATCTATCTATATACACATAAATGATACGATGTAGCACCAATGTTATCGCCAGGGCTTGTCGATATACAAATGTACATATGTCACTGCTGAGGGGGCTGGGAGGGTGAAGTTTTGAGTGACAGGTTCATTTCCGCCGTATATAAAAAGGGGGTGGAACGAGTAACGATGGGGTGGTAGGGTTTAGAAAGTAGGCACATAGTGTATGTACGTTTCCTTGGTTAGATAAACCTACAAATTCGAGAACCTTGTGTAAAAAATAATATGATACATACATCATATCCATAACCAACAGTGTGCCAACAATTTATTCGAACTTTACATACAAGTTCACATGTCTCTTTGTCAATTAAGAAAATTAGTCTAGAACAAACTATTATTTTGTTTTTTTTCTAGGTTTTGTGGAACAACTATTCCACCAAGTCTTACATTACCCGAAGGTCTTGGCTTGATTAGATTTAATTCTGATAGCACCGACACCAGGACGGGATTCGACTTTGAGTGGGAATAAATATCAACGAAACTGAAAACTTGCATACTTAGTCATACAATTAATGTTATTATTCCATATTGTAATTAAAACAAATACATTATGTATTTCCCAGTAGAACACAACGTATTCGGCTAACCCTTACATACAATACAACATTTTCCTAATATAACTAACAATTATATAATAAATTTGAAACTTATTTAAAAAATAGTAGCATATTTCAAAAATATATTTCTTCCCATAAAGTATGCTAAATATAATTTGTAATTTTACTCTTGAACTTGATACAACTTACGGCATCACAAATATAATAATAACCAAGATATTGACTACACTGAGTTTTTTTATTTCATCAAGATGTACATATGCAAACGTACTTAATTGGAACTATACTTGTTTGCCTTCCCTTATTAGAATCAGCGACATGGTTTGATTCAAACAAAAATCCTGTATCACCAACGGTGTCCCACTGTCGATAAAATTCGACCCAAATTTTATCTTAAGCTTTCCGCACGATCCCAACTGCTTTCGTATCACGGACCGCTTCGTATTCTGCAAAATCCTCATTTCCAATTTCTTCAGAGACCTCACAGACGAATTCAAGACCCACGACGCCAGAGTGAAGATGAGTATATTATTTACTATCGCGTTCACCATGGTCATAGGGAACATGAGAAAGACCGGCATTGAAATTTCGCCACACATCGTGATGGTCACGTACTGCAGAACAATTTGCAGCAGTGGCATCCCGCAAACAAGGGAAGGAGCAACCTTCTCCATGAGAAATGCATTCATTATTTTCTCAATTAGTTGAATCATGCGGTATCTTTGAACGCATGATTCGTGCCCGGTCGTTGTGGCAGTTTCCAATATTTTCCTGAGCATAACAAAAGTTAGTGCTTATCAATATGAGGTGCAAGAGTTCAAAGAAGTTTGACCATTTGGTAGAAAAATATTTTTGTGTTCATACTGATTTTACCTGTCGAGCATCTGAAAGTAATTCAAGAGCGAGCTAATTCCGGCGAAAAAATTGTACACGATTCCTGTCGTTCCAATGCAGAAGAAGCAAGAGCAGATGTATGTCTCAAAAAGTGGGATCAGTATGACCAGTCCATTCCACCGGATTGATGAGCAGCTGGGTGTCATTGATAATAGGAACGGAGGGGTACAAGGATCAAACAAAATCATTCCAAGTATTGCTAACGGGTTCAAGTAGTAAGAGTGTTTCAGCATGTGGAGAAAGATAAGCATTGCTTTGGCTTGTTTGGAAGGTTTGACGTTCTCCTCTAAATATTTTTTCAAAACCAATAAATTCTTTAGTCTTACCAAAATTTATGATAATCTTTAAGGTTTTCTTATAAAATTGGTAAAATAAGGATGCAAAACTCTACGAAATGATACATCTACATACCTTTCCGTACTTTTTCCTCGAAATCCAAGCAAGTATTGATCATTTGTATTTGAGCCTTGTCTAAAACATTCCAAGCCCAAGAGGAGCCCATTATTATAAGAAATATTAAACAGAAGACGAATCCTTGAATCTTCGTAGCTAATGGCATCGACGCGAAACCTAGGTGAGTTGAGACGGACAGTGTGTATGAAAGCATAACTAGGTAAAGCAGTTTTAACATCTTTTCTCCATGGGGTGAAATATTTATGCAAACGAATCGTTTTAATTTAGGGTGGAATTGAAATGGATAATATTTAAATATTTTCTGGCAAATGCGATAATGCTGTACGATGAAGGGGAGGAAATGGGTTGAATACATCCTTACGATTTACATTGATTAGTTTTGCGTCAAAACGGAAAAGTTGGAACGTCTGGATTTACTGATAGCAAATGATAGGCGAAAATGAAACAAGTTTAATGAATTATACTCAGAATTTAGACACGTATAAATAATCAATACAAAGGTTAAACAATACTCTAAAAAATTATTTCTCTAACGTACCAAGATATTTCCATGAATAGCAAGGTTTGCAATACTCACATGACTATGAATACGTGCATAGGCTGGGTTATGCGGAAGATTAAAATAATTATCTTATTGGCCTCCGAACACCGAATAATAATTAGATCTATTTACTAGGCAAAGTAAAAGTAACTGAGCAAGAAAATTTTGAAATAACCAATTAAAACAATAAGCAAAACTAAAATAACTTTAGACGGTCATCATTACGAACTCTAAAAGTAATGTATACGCTGGCCAACCAATGTTTCTTGAGGCGATTTGTGCCATGGTTAGAATTTACCCAAACATTTGGGATCAAAGTTGAGAAAGATGGCAATATTTACCAAGGCAGTAACCCGTTTCTTGGCTTTGATTTAAAATATTTTCACAAACTTCATCCATCGCGACGTTGATTGTATCGACCTATGCCCATAATTTAAAAGTTTCAACTAAATCGGAGTCTGATACTTCACACCATCGAATTTTAAGTGTGTTTCCATCATGATTGTATGTAGGTTCATTTGATATTTAGCATGTTTATTCACGCGACAGATACCCAAAGGAAGCGGATATGAAGAGCAAATATGTATCTATATAACTTTATGTAAATCAATTGGAGACGCATAATATTTGCATACAATATGTACGCCCTGGCGACTTTGTTGATAACTCGAAATATTCATTACTTTATACATTTCATTTATGTAAGCTTATCTTTGCTAATATGGTTGAGGAGGATTTACATTAATACTTATGGTTGTAATATTATTTGTATTTATTTGGAACCCTTCCCAGTTCTTATACGTAAAATTAAGCGTAATAAAAATTTAATAAAATAACATTTCCTGGCACCTCGTACTATTGGTTTCATACATACATGAGGTGAAATGGATTGACCAAATTGCAATCCAATCCAATCCATATCCATGGATTTAAAAATCCATACAATCCATATCCATACGACAGAATATAAAAAATCCATCCAATCCATATCCATGTTACAGAATATATAAAAAATCCAATCCATCCAATCCATGGATTTAAAAATCCATGCAATCCATATCCATACGACAGAATATAAAAAATCCATCCAATCCATATCCATGTTACAGAATATATAAAAAATCCAATCCATCCAATCCATGGATTTAAAAATCCATGCAATCCATATCCATTCCCCAATTTAGAAAAATTATCCATCCAATCCAATCCATGGATTGAAAAATCCATTTAATCCATGGATTAAAAAAGGTCTTAATAATTTTAACTAAGTAAAAGTAATTTATTAAAAATACCAAAAACTAAGCATATTAAATGAATCAAATAATATACATAATGAGGTTTTTAAGAAAAATTAATCAATAAAAATATTAACTACATACGTACATATACAATTAGCTGAAATTTTTATCATTATTTTTAGTGAGTTTTGAGCATATACATGAATATGTATATATGTAATATTTATATATTTTGAATTAATGTTGTTTTATTATTCAATAAAGCTAATTGTATTATAACAAATATACAAAAAATAATTAATAGCTACATAAAATAAACAAAACGGTTGATTTAATCTATAACAAATTAAAAATTTATCACCCAAACTTTAAACTAATTGTGGATCCACAAGAATTTAGAGTATTGTAGCAAATATAGCAGTAATACATTTAGTAATTGCATCGCTTATTACTTTCCACCGTTCATCACAGTCGTCTTGCTTATCTGGATGGTACAGTAGCAACAATTTGCGATAAAAAGTCTTGTTCAAATCACGTATACCAATTGTATGGCCAAGAGTGAAACCTTTAATAGATTTTCTTGGTGGATACTTCTCGATAATGTAGTGTAAAAACTCAACTGGATCTTTTCTGTAAGTGAAATTTATAAAATAAAGTTCGTTAAAAATAATAACATCGTTATAATTAAATAATTATTATGTTAGGTAAAAACATTGCGCACATTTCATTAAGTTCAATTATTTCCTGTTTTAGTTCCAGACCAATACCCTCGAGACCCTTCTTAATTTCTTTACTAGTATTTTGGACAGAAGACTTTCTCTCTAGTTCCAAAATTCTGTTGCGGATCCGCAAGTATTCCGCCTTTAAATGGTTGGCGTCAGAAATGCACAGTCGTGAAAGATATGGGATTCGATTATCTATATCTTCTAAATCAGCGTTGACCTTTTTAATACTTTCTGGATCCAGAACAGAAGAATTGTACAAACTTTTAAAAATAACCACTTGTGAAAGTTTGGATAATATTTGTTGCACGTTGTTTTGGAGAATGCAAATATCGTTAGTTATGCAAATATCAACACGTGCTTTTAAAATATTTTGTTCTGCAAGTGGAGGAATGTGGTAGGATGATGCAGGTAATCCATTTAAATTTTGAGTAACCTGAAAATATTGCTCTAGTTAAAGTAAAATAAAACACTTTTGATATTAATTATTAAAAACAATAAATTACTGACCTGTACATAATAGCAGTATAAATCTTGGGTGACATGTAGCAGTTCTGCAAAGTCATTCTTTACAGCTATGCATGACTTGCCAATATCGTCGACATCAACAATTGCAATCGGTTCATCAAAGACGTAGAATAAATGTTCAACTTCTACCAATTTGTCTAACATTTTGTCCTAAAGCTCTTGAGGAAGTAAAACTAAAAAAAAGCAATTATGAAATTGAAAAATTTAATTCGCTATATTTTATAATTACCGGCATAGGAAAGGCTCCACTTTCACTTAACACGGACGATAAATTTTCTTTTTTCTCCATATATTTGCTCATATTCTTCAGTTGCTGTTGAGGATTTTGTTGTCGAAACTGTTTTCGTAGATTTTTTTTTATTTCAGCGGATCCGCTAGATTTTGGTAAAGGGCACTGATAGTTTTTATGCTCCGCAGAGCCGCAATTAAAGCAATTATTCATTTTCAATAAAAAAATTTACGTGAGTGAGAGTTGCGAGTGAGAGTATCACTTTATGGAAAAGCTTGTTTTCCTTTTTGTCAATCCCGCTAATACTAATTCACCCCAATGAGCACATGCAAAATTCAATCTGAACTTAATTTATTTGCAGGTTAATAGTACAAAAAATATAGGATACAACATATGAATAAAAATTATCAATTAAATATTATATTTGATGCATGTTAAATCGGATACAGTGGATCCACTGAGGGCGGCTCGTCGATTGGTGATGGTCAATCCAGTAGTAGAGAAAGTTCTCTCATCTGATGTCTGTGACGCTGGAATTCCAAGAATTCTTGCAGCTACTTTTCTTAAAACTGGAAGTTGTGTAGATTGTCGCCAAAAAGTCAGCAAATCAAAATCTAGAAGAAAGCAATTGTAGTACTTAGTTAATTTAAT